TTACAAAAAATTGCAGCCAACCTAACGGTAAAAGACAAGTACTTATTAAAAATACTCCTAGCAACCAGTAAGAAAACTGTGACTCGAAAGTGGCTACAATTGGAACCCCCTACAAAATCTGAATGGTTGGATATCATATCTAATGTTCAAAATATGGAGAGGATGACTTTTTCTTTAAAACTACAAGTGGACAAATACCTGCAATATTGGGAGAAATGGATTGTACTTATGCCTTTACAGAGTGTAATCTGATTTATATATGTATTTATTCATGTGACCTGTAAGGAAATATGTGACCTGTCAACCGTTCATTTAAGTTCTGGTGTTTTATTGTATTATTTGCTTAATTTTATTTATTTTTTTAACCTAGTTTTTGTATTTTTTTTCCCGCCTTGTTTTATTTTTATTTATTTATTTATTTTTTATTATTATTCTTTTCTTCTCTCCTTAAAAGAAATAAAAATAAAGTACAAAAAAAAAAAGACACTTCTATACAGCTTAAAGCGACATTCAAAGGCTTAACTAGGTTAATTAGGTTAACTAGGCAGGTTAGGGTAAGTAGGCAAGTTATTGTATAATGATGGTTTGTTCTGTAGATTATCGAAAAAATATATAGCTTAAAGGGGCTAATAATATTGACTTTAAAATGGATATAAAAAAATTAAAAACTGCTTTTATTCTAGCCGAAATAAAACAAATAAGACTTTCTTCAGAAGAAAAAATATTATCAGACATACTGCGAAAATTTTCTTGCTCTGTTAAACATCATTTGGGAAATAAATAAATAAATAAATAAATAAATAAATAAAAATTCTGACTTCAACTGTGAATGTACAAATAAGTAAATAGACAAATGCACAACTGAGAGAATAAATAAAGCATAACTGAGCATAAATAGGTGCATAAATAAGCATTCAATTAAATGCAGGAATAAGTTTACAAATGTGTAAAAATGTCTAAAATGTTTGCAAGTGAGAGCACAAATAAACTCATGAATAAGTGCATAAATAAAAGAATTAAAATGCATAAATGTGCACTAATAATTGCTCATTAGAATGCATTTTAAAAAGGTGCAATATTACATGAATAAAAATGCATAACAGCATAAAAGCATAAGCAAATACACAAACAAAACTGAAAAATGATCAGATTTATATATTGTTAAAATGGTTCCTGGTGAAGTGTGAGGCAGTAATGTGTGATTGTTCACCTCTCCAGTGTAGCGGTTCCGCAAGTTGAGCGATGCCATGAAGTTGGAGTAATCCTTCTTCACACACGTGGGCCGCTCCGTCAGCTGGGTGACCTGATGAACACAATTCAATGACTTTCTTCAGTGTACAAACATCCTGCAATAACTACAAATGCACATCTTCAAACTAGTACCACAAGTCAAATATCAATCGATCTATAAAGACATGCGTGTCAGGACGACCGCTGTGTACTGTACACTACACTATTATGATGACATGCTGCTTTATAAAAGACAAACTAATTACAGAAAGCAAATGAGAGCACAGAACCAACCTGAGGAAAAGCTGCCTGGGGTGACACAACCCACCAAACCCACGACCAGCCAATCACAGCACAAACAGATGAGTTAGCAGCCAGTGCGTTAACAGAGGTGCAGTGATGAAACGGCATGAATAAAATAAACAAACAACACACAAATGCCCACCACACACACACACACACATGATAACATGCTGAACAAATAACACCAGAGCACACACCACGCTACAAATACAGGTGTGAAACAAACAAAACATAAGAACAAGAACCAAATTAGTCACAACAGTGATTGTATTACACAGTTAGTGTGAGAATATCAGTTTGATTGAGATCAAGTGAGAAGGATTTGGGAAGTTTTCAGCTGTGTATTATGAAAAGCATGTTTTTTTGTAATAAAAAGCAAGTTCGCAGTGGTGCAGTAGGTAGTGCTGTCGCCTCACAGCAAGAAGGTCCCTGGTTTGAGCCTCGGCTGGTTCAGTTGGCGTTTCTGTGTGGAGTTTGCATGTTCTCCCTGCGTTCGTGTGGGTTTCCTCCGGGTGCTCCGGTTTCCCCCACAGTCTAAAGACATGCGCTACAGGTGAATTGGGTAGGCTAAATTGTCCGTAGCATATGAGTGCGAATGAGTGTGTGTGGATGTTTTCCAGAGATGGGTTGCAGCTGGAAGGGCATCCGCTGCGTAAAAACATGCCGGATAAGTTGGCGGTTTATTCCGCTGTGGCGACCCCGGATTAATAAAGGGACTAAGCCAAAAAAAGAAAAGTAAGGAATGAATGAAAAAGCAGGTTCAAAGCAATTTTGAAAAATGCAGTGCATTGTGGGATACAGTAACTAATACAGTGTGCTCATTGCTTAAAAAAACATAAAAAATTGGGGTTAAAGTAAAGTATACTGTATATTAATACAGTTTATTTAAAAGATACACTCACTGGCCACTTTATTAGGTACACCTGTCCAACTGCTCGTTAACACAAATTTCTAATCAGCACATGGCAGCAACTCACTGCATTTAGGCATGTAGACATGATCAAAACGATCTGCTGCAGTTCAAAGCGAGCATCAGAATGGGGAAGAAAGGGGATTTAAGTGACTTTGAACGTGGCATGGTTGTTGGTGCCAGATGGGCTGGTCTGAGTATTTCAGAAACTGCTGATCTGCTGGGATTTTCATGCACAACCATCTCTAGGGTTTACAGAGAATGGTCTGAAACAGAGGAAATATCCAGTGAGCGGCAGATCTGTGGGCGCAAATGCCTTGTTGATGCCGGAGGACAGAGGAGAATGGCCAGACTGGTTCCAGCTGATAGAAAGGCAACAGTAACTCAAATAAGCACTCGTTACAACCGAGCTCTGCAGAAGAGCATCTCTGAACACACAACACGTCCAACCTTGAGGCAGATGGGCTACAGCAGCAGAAGAGCACACCGGGTGCCGCTTCTGTCAGCTAAGAACAGGAAACTGAGGCTACAATTCACACAGACTCACCAAAACTGGACAATAGGAGATTGGAGAAACGTTGCCTGCTCTGATGAGTCTCCATTTCTGCTGCTAATATATAAATACAAGCTAATATATAAATGCAATTGTTAAATTTACTATTGCTATTAAGTAGTTGCTGAGACAATAATTATCATTTTATTGAGTTTAAGCTGATACACGAAAACAAATAGACCAAAAAAACGACAAAAAAAAAAAACATGAAAATTTTATTCAAACTATCAATAAAATCCCTATAAAAGCAGTATCTTGTGGGAGCTAAACTGGAATGATAGAACAACAGAGAGATAGATCAATAGAATGATTGAATGATAGGTAGAAAGACAGAACAACAGAATGATAAAACAAAATGGAGAACGACAGAACGATAGAAGGCAAGGCAAGGCAAGGCAAGTTTATTTATATAGCACATTTCATACACAATGGCAATTCAAAGTGCTTTACATAAACAAGAATAAAATAAACAAGTAAAATAAAAATAAAAACAAATAATAAAAATGCGTAAAAACAAAACAAAACATAAAAACAGGTAAAATGTGATATGAAAGAATGAAGAAGAAGAGAAAAACATGATAGTGCGATCTGTCGGACGCAGCACAGTGCTCATTCCAGTGGCGTAGCGGACGGGCCCGCAGGGCACGCACCGCGGGGGGGCCCCGCGTGATTAGGGGGCCCCACGTCGTCGCGATTTTTAATAATTGAAAATCCAGGAACCGCAATAATCAAACTCTTGGGAACAACTGTGGTCGGAACCAAAGTTCACAGGTCTGTGTTCTCTGAACTCCGCTCAGGCGGTGGACTACTTCATTCTGATTGCTTGCCGCCGAACCGCGTCATAGCCAATGAAGACGCGCCGCTGTTTCTCGCCGCCGGTTCTCGTTAAAAAATGAATGACTTCTGCTACTTTGACGCTCTCGCCGCTTTCGGTTTGTGATCGCTCCTCAGTTTGTGAAGGATTCCCTCCTTTCCCCGCTCCTCAATTTGTGACATAGATATATACACTAGATATCGCATAGGGACCCTGAGCATGCGTCTATAGCGCCGCCACATTGGTACAGTGCTCCCAGGACAAATGTCATTCAACCGCACTAGTCAAGACAGTGTTATTACGTGAAGATGCGGGACTTAAGCGCCGTCTACGAGTGTAGTAACGAGCAAACAAAGAAAACAAAGCACAAAGGCAGAACATTTCATAGGATTAAGTTTTTTACGTTTTTGTATGTTTTGAAATTTGTGCTAAACAGGCACGTTATTGATAATAATAGCTATAGTCACTTACTGCATTCACCATAAGGCAAAGTAGCACCAACTCGCACTAAACACTCGGTTTATGCTAGGTTTGTTGAATAAATCAGCAAACAATGCAAAAGAAATATGACAGAGATGCTGTGGTGCCAGAAACTTGTATTATTGTCGGCTAGTGAACGAGTCGTTCATAATGGAGATTCATTCACAAACGAATCGCTCCCTCCGTCAGTATGAGAAGTGAAAGCAGGAGAGGAGCTGTGTTTCAGGACATGATTAGATCAAATTTAACAGGGAGAGTGAATAGTACATTTCCATACACACAAACACAAGCTTTTTGTCAGGAATGCCCGTGCGATAAGTGATCCATCAATGTAGAAAAGTGATGTCAAATAAAAATTTTCATCATTAAAAAAAAATGCATACTAACATCCAGGAAAACTCCCGATCATAGACATATGTGTATATGTGTATATCTATGTGTATACCCCCCACCCCCCCCCCCCCCCACCCCGCATTCAACTGGGGGCCCCGTCGGTGATCCCTGCAGGGGGGCCTCCGCATTTTGCGCTACGCCACTGGCTCATTCAGTAAAGGCACAGCTAAACAGATGTGTTTTCAGTCTTGATTTGAATGTGCCTAATGTTGGAGCACATCTGATCATTTCTGGAAGCTGATTCCAACAGAGACAGTTGAAGAACAACAGAAACAGTTGAAGTCAGAATTTTTAGCCCCCTTCGAATTTTTTTCTTCTTTTTTAAATATTTCCCAAATGATGTTTAACAGATTCAGGAAATTTTCACAGTATGTCTGATAATATTTTTTCTTCTGGAGAAAGTCTTATTTGTTTTATTTCGGCTAGAATAAAAGCAGTTTTTAATTTTTTTAACACCATTTTAAGGACAAAATTATTAGCTATTTGTTTGTCGATAGTCTACAGAACAAGCCATGACTATACAATAACTTGCCTAATTACCCTAACCTGCCTAGTTAACCTAATTAACCTACTTAAGCCTTTAAATGTCACTTTAAGCTGAATATTAGTATCTTGAAAAATATCTAGTCTAATATTATTTACTGTCATCATGACAAAGATAAAATAAATCAGTTATTAGAGTTGAGTTATGAAAACTATTATGATTAGAAATGTGTTGAAATCTGCTCTCCGTTCAACAGAAATTGGGTAAAAAATAAACCAGCTGTCTAATATTTCAGGGGGGCTTATAATTCTGACTTCAACTGTGGATGGATTGGTGCAGTTTATAACTGTTGAAAACACGTGGAATCTTCAGAGTGTTGAATTTAGAGGATTTGACCAGTGTGCTGATTTGGATGATCAGGGGTAATACATGATCAGTTCTCCTACAGTGTGTCTGCTGATTAGTGAAGAGCAGCTTACCTTCATCTGCACAAACACCTCAGTTACTCTCTCACTAACCATCATCTACAGCATCAGAGCACAGCACGGGTTAACAGCAGCAGCGCACATGTGTGTTGTGTGTGAGAGAAAGAGTGTATTTGTGTATGTGTGTGTGAAATAGAGTGTCTGTCTTTGAGAGTGTCTTTATGTGTGTATGTGTTTGAGAGTTTGTCTTTGTGTGTGTGTGCACATGTTTCTCACCCCCAGTGTTGTGCTCTGTCGGTTGTATCCTGCGAAATTGAGGATGCTTTCGGTCGCCATTGCCAGACCAGTGTGCTGAGACAAACCCGACAACCAGTTCTGATGCTTATTCAGATACTCCTGAAAACCACAAACACACACACACACACACACACACACACACACACACACACACACACACACACACACACACACACACACACACACACACACTTATTAGAATGCAACAGTTTAAAGTAATGATGTTCAGTTTATGAACGCATATTTAACAAATTTAGGGGGCTAATAATATTGACCTTAAATTAGTTATAAAACAATTAAAACTGCTTCTATTCTAGCCGAAATAAAACAAATAAGACTTTCTTCAGAAGAAAAAATATTATAGGAAATACTGTGAAAAATTCCTGAATCTGTTCAACATCATTTGGGAAATTATAATAATAAATAATAATTAATAAAAATAAATTAATATGCATTTATTTAAAAGTATAACAATTTTAATGTATTCTATTAAATACTATTATTAATTATAAAATTACAATCATTATAATAAAATATTATTATGAAATATTATATTGTTTATAAAATTATATTGTTTACAATATTATATTATATTGTTTTATAAAAACTATGGATCAGGAATAAAACGCCACGTGCTCCCGCTGACCTGCAGATGAGATTTGGTGACAGACGCTGCCCACTTCATGGCCTCCTTCAGGATCTCTCCACAGCGAGCGGCAAAATCCTTCACGATGCTCTGCACAAACAAACACACACCGCTCACAAACAACTCATTAATAAAATACTAATCATTCCAAAAATGTAAATATATATATACATTTCATTATTCAGTGGATCTGGAAAGTATTGATAGCGCTTCACTTTTTCCACATGTTTTTATGTTACAGCCTTAAATTGATTGATTTCCTCAACATTCTACACACAATCCCCCATAGTGACAATGTGGAAAAAGAGTTTTTAAAATTGTTGCAAATTTATTAAAAATAAAAAAAGCTGTAAAATCAGATGTACATCAGTATTCTCAGCCTTTGCTCAATAGTTTGTTGATGCTTCTTTGGCAGCGATTACAGCCTCAAGTCTTTCTGTATATGATGCCACAAGCGTGGCACACCTGTCTTTAGGAATTGTTGCCCATTCCTCTCTGCAGCACCTCTCAAGCTCTATCAGGTTGGATGGGAAGCAACGGTGTACAGCCCTTTCAGATCACTCCAGAGATTCCAATAGGATTAAGGTCTGGGCTCTGGCTGGGCCACTCAAGGACATTCACTGAGTTGTTGTGAAGCCACTCCATTGATATTTTGGCGGTGTGTTTGGGTCATTGTCCTGCTGGAAGAGGAACCGTCGCCCCAGTCTGAGGTCAAGAGCACTCTAAAGCAGGTCTTCATTCAGGATGTCTCTGTACATTGCTGCATTCATCTTTCCCTCTATCCTGACTATTCTTCCAGTTCCTGCTTCTGGAAAACATCCCCACAGCATGATGCCAACACCACCATGCTTCACTGTAGGGATGCTATTAGCCTGGTGATGATTGCTGCCTGCTTTTCTCCAAACGTAACACCTGGCATTCACTACAAAGAGTTCAAGAATTTAGTTTCTGATGCTCTGAGAGTCGTTCAGATGCCTTTTGGCAAATTCCAGGCCGGGAGTCTCTTCCGTCTGGCCACTCTACCATACAGGCCTGATTGGTGGATTGCTGCACAGATGGTTGTCCTTCTGTAAGGTTCTCCTCTCTCCACAGAAGAATGCTGGAGCTCAGACAGAGTGACCATCAGGTTATTGATCACCTTCCTGACTAAGGCCCTTCTCTCCAGATCACTCAGCTTAGATGGCCGGCCAGCTCTAGGAAGACTCCTGGTGGTTAAACTTAGTCCACTTACGGATGATGGAGGCCGCTGTGCTCATTGGAACTTTCAGAGCAGCAGAAATGTTTCTGTAACCTTCCTCAGAGTTGTGCCTGGACACAATTCTGTCTCGGAGGTCTACAGACAATTCCTTTGTCTTCATGCTTGGTTTGTGCTTTGACATGCACTGTCAACCCTGGGCCCTTAAATAGACAGGTGTAGCCTTTTCAAATCATGTCCAATCAACTGAATTGACCACAGGTGAACTCCAATGAAGCTGCTGAAA